ATAGGTTGGTTGGGACAGGAAAGGTTGAGATGTCGTGATAGACCTAAACCAAGTCATATATTGAAGACTTGGCCTAGCCCCGTGCACAATACGGTCGGTTAAGACGTCTTGCCTTCTTATCTTCTAGTGTTTACACAACTCCTTCGCAAACTCCTTCCAATGACTGACACTTCACCATGCGTCCACTCGTTTTTGATGCCATTGTCCCAACTCTACCGGAGCATCTATAATTTCCTGATGCATCCCAAATTGTAGCTTAACCCGGTCACTTTGGTGCATCTCCACCGTAGTGAACCAAAGTATGGGTGTTCTTGATGTCCACACAGCAGCATCATTGGGGTCAGGTTGGTGGTCGAGACCCTCGTACGACATCCAAACAATCTACAATAAAGGTGGATACATTTAGACAGACAGAGATAGACAAGTTTATGCATATAAGTTAGACAAATTAAAGGTAAATAACTTACATCATCGGGCCCAAGGTGGTCGATGAGGTTGTGGTATTGAATTATAGAGTGTCTGGGACATCTCTGATGATTCATCCCTGGAACAGACCACCTAAAAAAAATAAACACATATAAGTTAGCATCTAAAACACATCTCACAAATTATTAAGTTACAAAAAAAATTTAGTTGCTAAATCATCTTGAAAAGAAACTTACTTGTTGGCGTACGAGAATGTAAAAGAATTCTGATTTGTCAGAGCAAACGTTGGCATCCTAGACCAACCCCACGCTTGTAGGAGATAGGCACAGCCATAAAAAGTACAAGATTTTTTTTTTGAAGTTTTGCAAAGTGCGCTATACATATGGGCGAGTACAGCTGATCCCCAACTATATTCGTGCACTTTATTTATATTTTGTAATAATGGAAAATACATGGTATGGACGTTATTTCCAGTTCCGTCTGGAAATAAAAAGTGACAGAACAAAATCATAATATAACACTGTGTCTTGACTATTATGTCATATTCGGTGTTATCATCAGTTAAGACAATATTTTTGTATTGTTCTCTGAGGTATTTTAAATTAATTCCCTGACCCTTCTGGCAGCCATCGCTTTCCGCCTGAGGTGCGTCCACACAAAGAGGGGCGCCCAATAAATCTTTGCAAAGTCGGTCAGGGACACCAACTTTGTCGTTGACGGCCTTATCATCGATGTGTAGGTCGAGCAACATGTATACATCTTGGAGAATCACCGTACACTCACCAAAAGATAGGTGAAATGTATGTGTCTCCGGTCTCCAGCGTTCTAACAACGCTAGAATAAACTTCGTATCAAGAGAGTATGATTTGATTTTGATCAAATCACCAAACCCACAATTACGAAGGTACCCCCGCTATGAGTGGGTCGTGTGGTATGTAATCATGCACACGACATCGAAACCTTGATACATCCTGCAAAATAATTAATGCTACTTTAGAGAAGAAGTAAAATAATTAACGTTACGTAGGAAAAGAACTAAAAACTTAGATAAGAACATAGATAAGAACTAAAAACTTACAAACTCTGTAATGTTTTCAGTTGTGCCTCTATGAGAGTCGCCCATGGTGAGTAAAGACATTGTCGTTTGGGATGTTGAGATGTAGAGATGTTAAGAGTCTTTAAGTTTGGGAGTTTGGGACTTGGAAAGTTTGAGAGTTTGAGACTTAGAAAGTTTGAGAGTTAGAGAGTTAGAGAGTGTGAGCAGAATTTGCTGGGTAAAGACTCTATATTTGTATTCCACGATTGGATGTGTGTTGTAAACGCATGCTGGACAAGTGGCCTGATGCATGTGTGTTGCAAATACATTTTGAACAAGTGGCCTGATGCATGTCTGTAGCATGCTGCATGCGTGACAAGTGTACTGATGGAGGGTCATTGTAGGCATGCAAGGTCACATGTGAAATGCAGAAAGAGAATCTCGTAGGCCTGCATGGTCATTGTATGAATGCAGGGTCACAAAATGTTGCATATCATTGATTTCAAATGCATTGATTGTGGTAAACGGATGCGTGACAAGTGTCTTGGTGCATGCATTAGGCATGCAGAAAGAGAATCTCGTAGGTCTGCATGGTCATTGTAGGCATGCAGGGTCACATGTGAAATGCAGAGTCATGCATTGTCCCGTCTTATCAAGCATGTGAAATGCAGAAAGAGAATCTCGTAGGCCTGCCTGGTCATTGTAGGCATGCAGGGTCACAGAATGCTGCATGTCATTGATTTCAAATGCATTGATTGTGGTAAACGAATGCGTGACAAGTGTCCTGGTGCATGCATTAGGCATATTAAGGCATTGGTTTTTTATGTTGATTTGTTTTATATTTATTATAGTTTGTTTAGTGTAATACGTATCCAAAAATATGTAATTTATGCAGCCTAACTTATGTTTGATCTCCGATCGACACCCATCCATCGAGAGTGCATACAACAACCATGACAACAATTGGCAGGATCCTCCCTCGACCCACTTCTATTGCATAAGGCATATTGCCCAAAATTTCATGCGGGAAATCAAAGACAAGATGCTGCGGAAGAAGGTTGTGAACGCGGGATATGCACTAACTGAACCCACATTCAGATACTACTGTGACGAGATCAGACTGACCAACACGGATGCATTAAGATGGATTGATAGCATTGATAGGGAGAAATGGACGCGGACATACGATAATAGGGTGCAATTGGGCCACATGACAACTAACCTCGTCGAGTCAATGAATTTTGTTTTCAAGGGAATCTGAAACCTCCCAATAACTGCCTTGGTAAAGGCAACCTATTTTAGGCTAGGATCACTCTTTGATAGCAGACGTACGAAGTGGGGTTCGGTATTACAATCGGGTCAGCTGTATAGCGATACTTCAATGAAATTCATGAAAAAGGAAGCTGCCAAAGCTGACACACACGTGGTCACAATCTTTGACCGTACAGCTGGTTGGTTCAGTGTTGCCGAGTCTATAGATCACAACGAAGGAAGGCCTAGAGGATGTTATCGTGTTGAACTAGATAAGAGCTGGTGTGATTGTGGAAAGTTTCAAGCATTCCATATGCCTTGCTCTCATGTCATGGCAGAATGTTCGAAGGCCTAAAGGATGTTATCGTGTTGAACTAGATAAGAGTTGGTGTGATTGTGGAAAGTTTCAAGCATTCCATATGCCTTGCTCTCATGTCATGGCAGAATGTTCGAAGGCGCGCCAGGACCCAACCAACCTTCTTTCTGCAGTTCACCAAGTGATAAGTCTATGCAGTGTCTACACATGCAGCTTTTAGGTGGTGGCAGAGAAGGACTATTGGCCTCAATACAAAGGCGAAATTGTTTGGCATAATGACTTGATGCGCAGAAAGAAAAAGGGTCGACCTAACAGCACGCGCATTCGAACGGAGATGGATATCACAGACAAGCTAGTGAGATTGTGTAGTTCGTGTCGGCAACCAGGACACAATCGTACAAAATATCATAACGTAGGATCAAGCAGCAGATCATAGTTTCATATGTAACCGTGTCCCTTTAATTCAATAGCAACTTTCATTCAATTAATAGAAAATTTCATTCGATTAAAAGCATACTTAACTGACATAACAACAACATAAAGACAAAACACTGCACCAAGGCATCATAAATTAAACAAACATAACAACAACGTAAAGACATAAAACAAAACACTGCACCAAGGCGTCTACGATATCACGACCATCAACTTTATCTTCTTTGGTGTCAACATCATCACAAGGACGCCAACATCATTTTCCACTTTTCTCCATTCACGAGTAACTCTGTTTCTCCCGGTCTCCTCGACCAACCTCTCAATTTTCCTAATCTTTTCTCCTGGAGCAATATCCCCTTCTAGCCAGCGGTTCAATTCCCTGTGCAAGTGCTCCAACGTCTGTGTATTCCACAGGAGCACCTTTATCGGAGGCTTTGTTGATGAAAACACAACTAGGACATTTCTTTTCATTAGATCGAACGTTGGAAAAGGTTCCTCCGATGCTGATGACGACGATGATTTAGAAATGCAGACATTCTAGACTCCACTTAACTCAAACTGCACTAACACTTTAGTCTTTTGAGATATAATGTTGTGAAAACATACATGTGTTTGCAGTCATATTTATAGTAAAAAAAATAGTACGTACCCCATATGATATGACTTAAATACCTTTACAACATTTATACACTCAAAATTAAATCAACACTATATTTTTATTTTGTATTTAAACCTAAATTTATTAAACCAGTTTAAGTTTATTATTTATTAAACCTAAATTTATTAAATTAATTTGAAATTATTTTTATTTAAACCTAATTATTTTAAGTTTATTAATTAAAAAATAAATTTTAACATTAAACCTAATTATTTTAAGTTTATTAATTCAAAAATTAATTTTAACATTTAAATCTAATTTTTTAAAGTTTATTAATAATAATTATGTTTAAAATAATAATAATAATTAAAAATATAAAAAAAAATTTGATATTAAATACATTAAAACATTATTTGAAATTTAAAAAAATAATCAAAATTTAAAATATAAAAACATTAAAACGGAAACCCTAGTATTAGCCTAAGTCGTCAATCAAGATGGCGAATTCATGCAAGTTTGGCATAAGTCGCCAATCCGATTGGCGAATGCATGCATGCCATTTTGACTAATTAGCCATTCTGAATGACGACCAAATGCTAAAATCTGACCATTTTAAAAAATTATTTGAAAAATTCAATATAATGGTAAATACTATTCAATACATAGTTATTTTAAAAAAAAATTCTCAAATTTTTAGGTTTTCTAATTAGATTTTTAAAAATCCAATTTATAACCGAACCAATTTTAAGATCCGAATTTATGTTAGCAAAAATATTGGGCTTTAGTCGTAAGCCCATGATTGGAAGCATGGGCCGTATTTATCCACCAGAAATCTCAAAACCCTACCCTTTACCCTTTCCGTTTTTACTCAGAGGATTGAGCACAACCCCACCCGCCGCTCCAATCTCTCTCCGTCGCGCCAAATTCTGTCCGTCACCATGGCTCTCTCCCAGAAAGAAGCCGATATCCAGATGATGTTGGCAGCCGATGTCCATCTCGGTACAAAGAATTGTGATTTCCAAATGGAGCGATATATTTTCAAGCGCCGCAATGACGGTAACACTTCAAACCCTTCAAACCCTAGAAAATGATAATGAAATCTCACGAAAACTTAGTTTAGTAATTTTGAATTATTTTTTGTATGAATTTATTTAGGGATTTACATTATAAATCTTGGAAAGACATGGGAGAAGCTTCAACTTGCGGCAAGGGTTATTGTTGCAATTGAAAACCCTCAGGACATCATTGTTCAATCTGCCAGACCTTATGGACAGAGAGCTGTTCTCAAATTTGCTCAGTATACTGGTGCTCATGCTATTGCTGGTAGACACACTCCTGGTACATTCACCAATCAGCTTCAAACTTCATTCAGTGAGCCTCGTCTTCTCATTCTCACTGACCCAAGAACCGATCACCAGGTTTCACCATTACCTATTTTCTTATTTTTTTGCATATTAGGTTTGTCAGTAAATGTTGTTAGTTATATATGTACAGTATACTTGTGTAATTCTTTATATGTTTTGTTTGTGTGCAGCCAATCAAGGAAGCTGCACTTGGAAATATTCCCACAATTGCTTTTTGCGACACTGATTCTCCCATGAGATATGTTGATATTGGTATTCCTGCCAACAACAAGGGAAAGCATAGCATAGGTTGTCTCTTTTGGCTATTGGCTAGGATGGTGTTGCAGATGCGTGGTACTATTCGCCCTGGCCTTAAGTGGGATGTCATGGTAAACTGTTTCTATTATTTGTAATTGTTAATTCATACAGTATGTTTAGTCTATTTTTTATATTTGATAGAGCATGTGTATTCTGTATAGTATGTGTAGTGTATTTTCTGTATTTGTAGTCACATGTTAGATTCTGCAATGTGAAGTAGAATGATAAAATATGTGTAGTCTTTTGTTAGATTCTGCATTGTGAAGTAAATTGATAGATTATTTGGAGTCCTGTGTTAGATTTGACATGCAGCCATGCCATTGTACTCCTGTGTTAAATGTGTAGTTTCACGACTACTACATTGTGTCTTAACTAAGGCTTTCTTTAATGCAGGTGGATCTATTCTTCTATAGAGAACCAGAAGAGGCCAAGGAGCAAGAGGAGGATGAAGTTCCTGCTCCAGATTATGCCATTGCTGATTTCAATGCAGCTTCTATCCCCAACGACGGACAATGGCCTGCTGCCATTGATCAACCATGGAATGATGCTGCTCCACAACCCATTCCAGCAGTTCCTGCTGTAAACTGGACAGCCCCAGAAGCTGGTACGTTTAAAAATTCTGTAGAGCAATCAGGCTATTTTGGAACAACCCTTCAGATTTGATCTCAAATTTTCTTTAGAAGGCTGTCATTGGTTTTTGCTAATTCTTTTCTTACTTCACTGTGCCAATGTTTATTTCTTTCACTTGTTGATCGTCCATTCAAGATTTGTCAAGGAATTAAATTATGTTGCAAGGGTGGTTGATTGAAGTTTCTTTTTTTTATTTTTTATAATGTATTCTAGTTTTATTGATAAAGTGTTATCTTGCAGTTGCCGGGGAGTGGGGTGAAGCTGTTCCTCCACCACAACAAATAGATGCTCCCGTAGTTGAATCTATCCAAGCAACTGGCTGGGAATAAGCTAGTGGTTTTTTTATCATACAAGGTCCCATCACACAGTTTATATTAATCTCCATCAGGTTTTTTTGTAGCTAAGGAACTTTTTCTCACTTTTGCTTTTGGTAAGACATGAGTGGCAGAAATTTTATACCACCTGAGATATTTATTTAATTTGTATTTTTCTTTTACTGTTGAGGCAGTTTTAAATTTATTTTTAATGAATGTGTTTTTGTGATTTTCCCCTCGCACTTGATATTCGGTTTGCTGATTATTTCTGTCAAATATTTGTCTATCATATAATTACTGTGTCTGGATACACATTGTTACTTTTAAGTTGAATGATTTTCCTATTTTTGAATCTGAAATCGTGGGAGTTAAATCGATAAGTACTGTACTTTTAAGTTGAATGATGTTCCTATCTTTGAATCTGAAAACTTGAGTTAATTGATTCATGATGAATATTTTGACATGGCATGGCTCAAATGGTGGTGTGAGCACCAATGCCAATGAAATACAAGAGGCGGTGGGATCTACTGGGACTGGAAAATTTAACTTAAAATTAAGGTCAATACAAGATTTAGGGAAATTGGTAAAGTTAACAGAGAAATTTAGATTGAGGGAAAGATTCCCTTACGAATGTTTTCACTGCCCAGTCCAACGTACTCTCCGTTCAATACTGTCACTGTTTCCTCATTTGGTCCAATGTCTGTTGGCATGCACAAAACTCTGAATCTTGATTGATTTTTAAAATAATGCATATGAAGGTTGAAAACATATTTAAGAATATTGAAACACATGCATTTTTTGATCAAATAATGTTTGGTTTCTATATATGTTTGTCCTTCATAACCTTAACTTTGCCTTTAGTTATGATGTTTTTGACGAAATAATTGTTTGTTCAATGTGTTTTTGTCCTTTCATAATATGCATGATTCTTGCATGAAATAATAGCACTTGTTACAATATACACTACATGTGACGATACCCTCTTCATCATAATGATTTTTTATACAATCAGTAACACCAATATAGTACGTATACTTTACAAAAAAAAAATACTAAGCTTTGTGATTGAAATAGCTACCGAATGTTTGAGTTATTATGATTATGATTAAAAAAAAATACTAAGCTTTGTGATTGAAAGAGCTACCGAATGTTTGAGTTATTATGATTATGATTAACTTTGTCTTAAATTTTAATTGGGCTATTTTATTGACCCTATCTCGTATATGGAGTTAAATAAGACGATACCGGGTTGAATAACGATAAATAAATAAATAAATAAATAAACTCTCTATTTATTTGAATATTTATTTGAATATATGAATCTATTATAAATTTGCTTTTCATAAATGTGTGTTATTTATTAGAATAAAATTTTCAAACCTTTTGTATCATTGGTGTGGAAATTGTTTTAAGCCAGACCTTTTGAAGTTGACGCACATGTTTGAAATTTTTTTTTATAATAACCAACTATTATTTAATATTTACTATAATATTGAAGGTTTTAAAACATTAACTAAAGTGGTACACTTTTAAACTTTTATCGCCGGATGAAATGGCAACTGAGTGCAATTGGGTTTTTGAGTTAAGAGGAGTCGTCAATATAAATGGCGACATTGTTGATTTGTCAATAAACTCGCCGATAGGAATGGCGACACTGGCCATGCCAGGGTTTGCGTTTTTCTGTTTTTAATTAATGTTTTAATTTTTAATTTTAATAGAATAGTTTAAAGAATAAAAAATAACAATATTATTTAAAGAATAATATTTATAATTTATAATTTTTCTGTTTTAATTTTTAATTTTTAATTAATGAAATAGTTTATGTAAATATTTTAATAAATTATTTAAAGAATAACAATATAATTCAAATCAAATATTTAAATACATATTTAAACGGTAATAACATTAAATTTGTTATTAAATTTATAAATATTTTAATAAATATTTTAATTACGTATTAATAAATATTTGTTATTAAATTATGTTGTTTGTTTTTTATAATGAATTGAAATTTAAATAACCTTAAAATAATATAGACATGTAAAAAATATTTAAAAAATATTAATTTACAATATAATGAAAATTACAACTGAAGAAAAAATTAATAGTCGACTCTATCCAAGTGACCATCGGTGCCACATTGCAGGGGATGCGCGTTGCGACGAGGTCTACGACGAGGTTGATGTGGCGTGTCTGGTCGTTGTGTGTTGAGTTGTGGATGAGGGTTTTGTTGGGACGGCCCCGACGTATCAGATAGATTTTACAACATTTGACCCCAATAGTCGGGAGGTCCACTATCAACAGCGCTTCCGTAGTTAAGCCCAATGTCCATGTTTTCGTAGGATGGTCTGGGAGGTTGGGTGGAGTATGGAAGGTATAGTTGTCCGAATTCGTACGTTGAATTGGGTTTGAAATGGTGTGTTGGTTGTTGTGGGGTGTGGTAGTCAAACAGTGGATAGTTGGAGGGGGTAGGGTCAAATGAGTTGTCTGGGCTATAGGTGGAGGGGGTAGGCTCAAAAGACGAATCAGGGCTATAATGGTATGGTGGTTGAGGCTGGGACTGGGTGGGTGACATGTACAGGTCATGGTAAGGATGTTGTTGTTGATGAGGGGTATTTGGTGGCATGTATGGAGTATGGTAAGGTTGGTTTTGGGCACTGGACTATTGTTGTGTGTTTAACGAAGAAGCGTGTTTCCTTGGGTCAACCAAATAGGTTGACTCGGACATAAATGGCTGAGACGTCGTGACCGACCTAAACCAAGTCATATATTGAAGACTTGACCTAGCCCCATGCACAATATGGTTGGTTAAGACGTGCCACCTTCTTCTCTTCCAGTGTTTACACAACTCCTTCGCAAACTCCTTCCAATGACTGACACTCCACTATGAGTCCATCCGCTTTTGATGCCACTGCCCCAGTTCTACCGGAGCATATGGAATATCATGATGCACCCCAAATTGTAGTTTCACCCTGTCACTTTGGTGCATCTCCACCGTAGTGAACCTAATTATGGGTGTTCTTGATGTCCACACAGCAACATCATTGGGGTCGGGCTGGTGGTCGAGACTCTCGTACGACATTCAGACAAACTACAATAAAGGTGGATACATTTAGTCAGACAGAGATAGACAAGTTTATGCATAAAAGTTAGACAAATTAAAGGTAAATAACTTACATCATCTAGCCTAAGGTGGTCGATGAGGTTGCGGTATTGAATTATAGAGTGCCTAAGACATCTCTGATAATTCATCCCTGGAACAGACCACCTAAAAAAAAGAAACACATATAAGTTAGCATCTAAAACACATCTCACAAATTATTAACTTACAAAGAAAATTTGGTTGCTAAATAATCTTGAAAAGAAACTTACTTGTTGGCGTACGGGAATGTAAAAGGATTCCGGTTTATTGGAGCAAGCGTTGGCCTCCTAGACCAACCCCACACTTATAGGAGATAGGCACAACCATAAAAAGTACAAGATTTTTTTTTGGAATTTTTGCAAAGTGTGTTATACATATGGGAGAGGACAGCTGATCCCCAACTATATTCTCACACTTTGTTTATATTTTGTAATAATGGTAAATACATAATATTTACACTATTTCCAGTTCCCTATGGAAATAAAAAGTGACCGAACAAAATCGTAATATAGCACCGTGTTTTGACTATTTTGTCATATTCGGTGCTATCCTCACTTAAGATAATACTGTTGTATTATTCTATGAGGTATTTAAGATTTATTACCTGACCCCTCGGGCGACCCTCGCGTTCTCCCTAAGTTGCATCCTCATACAGAGGGGCGCCCAATAAATCTTCGCATAGTCGGTTAGGGACACCAACTTTGCCGTTGACAGCCTTACCATCGATGTGTAGGCCGAGCAACATGTATACGTCTTGGAGACTCACAATACACTCACCAAAAGGTAGGTGAAATGTATGTGTCTCCGGTCTCCAGCGTTCTAACAACGCTAGAATAAACTTCATATCGAGAGAGTATGATTTAATTTTGATCAAATCACCAAACCCACAACGATGAAGGTACCCCGTTATGAGGGGGTCGTGTGGTATGTAATCATGCACACGACATCGAAACCTTGATGCATCCTGCAAAATAATTAATGTTTCATTAAACAAGAACTAAAAACTTACAAATAATTAATGTTTCGTTAGACAAGAACTAAAATAATTAACGTTTTGTTAGACAAGATCGTAAACATAGATAAGAACTAAAAATTTACAAACTCGGCGATGTTTTCAATCGTGCCTCTGTGAGAGTTGCCCATTGTGAGTAAAGACATTGTGGTTTGAGATGTTGAGATGTAGAGATGTTGAGAGTTTTAGAGTTTGAGAGTTTGGGAGTTTGAGACTTTGAGGGTTTTAGAGTTTTGAAAATTTGGGAGTTAGAGAGTTAGATAGTTTAAGGGTTTGAGAGTTTGAGAGTTTAAGTGTGAGCAGATTTTGCTGGGTAAAGAACCTCTGTTTATATTCCACGAATGCATGTGTGTTGTAAATGCATGCGGGCAAGTGTCCTGATGCATGTGTGTTGTAAACGCATGCAGGACAAGTGTCCTGATGCATGTGTCTTGTAAATGCATGCAGGACAAGTGTACTGATGCAGGGTCACATATGAAACGCAAAGTCTTGCCCTGTCCTGTCTTATCAAGCATGCTGCATGCAGGGTTACATGTGAAACGCAGAGTCTTGCCCTATCCTGTCTTATCAAGCATGCTGCATGTAGGGTCACATGTTAAACACATAGTCTTGCCCTGTCTTGTCTTATCAAGCATGTTGCATGCAGGGTAAGAATATCGTAGGCCTACAGGGACATTGTAGGCATGCAGGGTCACATGTGAAACGCAGAGTCTTGCATTGTCCTGTCTTATCAAGCATGCTGCATGTCATTGATTTCATATTAAGGCATTGGCAAAAGGACAAAAGATGAGATTACGTTTTTGTCATTGATTTTTTAGGTTGATTTATTTATTAACCATTGTGTGAGTCTTGCGATTGTGA